TCGATCGATCACGCGGAACAAGAGGCCTTTCGAAATTCAGCGAGAACGTCCAATGCGGGGGATACGCGTCGAGGAATTCAGCACAATTATTTAGCCCTCAAGGGACGCATTCCTCGATCCTTTATCTATTTCTCTAAATCAGTTGATTGGATTAAAGATCCAATCGCGAGATATTTACAGAAATCAATCTTGTCGTAATTTAATAGTGTGAATGTCTTGATATTGAATAACAAGTTTTTTTAATTTTTAAGCTAGCGATATTGCATATTACACTTCGGATTCTTTATTCGTTAACTATATCAGATATTAAAATTATCAAATATATTTCGTAAAATTACTCCCCCCCTGTGCGCAGTAATAACAATAAAAGAGTCATAGAACAATTGTGCGACGTAATGCGTAAGTCCTGGCAATACGGTGCCACGTGCGAATAGTGTGATAAGGCAGATAGAGTGACACTGGCGACTTAGGAGGAAAATTGGAGCAAACGCCTATTCGCGCGATTTACGTTCCTTCCGTAACACGACACTCGGGAAAGGTTTAACAATGCATTTCGCGCGTGGGTCGTGTCGTAAAGGCGCTCTTGCGTAATGCGGTATCGATTATCATTAGAGAGTTATCGATTGTGCACCTCGAGCGACAGAGAAACAGGGATCAAGAAAGAGAGGCGGAGGAAGAAAGAAAAAAGAAAGCGCAAGGAACAGTCGAGTTTTTAAGATGGGAGAGACTGTCGTTGAATCTTTAAAAAGAGATCGACCGCGAGGGAAGATCTTTTTTCATTTTTGTACTAATTATAAGTGCAATCGTTTCTCAATTCTATAATACATTCATGCGCTGTCTTCTTTCCGTAGCTATTGTTGCAAGAGAGTTAATTGAAGTGAATAGTGTCAAATGTGAAAAAGATTGAAATTAAGAACTTAAACGATACTTAAAGTCCGGTGTGAATAGTTTAATACGGAAATTCCGCGCGATGCGTTAAACGCGGCTTTTTATTGCGAGGTTGATCAACGCAAAATGCATTTCGCGTGCAAAATTGTGAAATGACTCGGTATTACCGTCGTTTTCCTGTTACATCTTCAGAATCGATGCTCTCACCAACGCGGATCTCATCGGACGACAAGAGCAAGTTGGACATATACGACATATTAAGAAATCGGATTCGCGATTACCGCCTCGTACCGTCGCTCCGATCCGACATGAGCGCATTTTAGGCGCATGTTGCGTAAACTAATCTTCGCACAAAAATGCGTTCACTGAAGTCTCGATCGATGTATTATCCTTGGACGGTGATCGTCCGATTTTATACTTAAGATCGTTTTAAATTCGGTCTCAGATGGTCTTAAGATTACATCCATCCAATATGAAATGATCATACAGCGTCTCGAGACGATCGTACTTAAGACGCGAAGAACTTAACTGCAAGATTGGACTACATCCTTCATTCCTGTTCTTCATTTCTTAAGAAAAAAAGAAAAATCTGAGACGAGACAAAATTAAAAATTAGAAATTCAGAATCACGTATTTTTTTTTACTTTCGCAAAAGGCAAATTTACTCTTTGTAATATAAATTATATATTTATATATTTACTATTTCTTGATCTTTTATATATTTTCTCGCGTCACTAAAAAAAAGATTGGAAGTTAATCGGCTACGGTCAAAGGGTCAAATATCTCATTGGAAATAGAGCGAATTAAAATATCGGCCGGACAAGTAGATATAACCGGAGGTGGTCAGCCGCCGCCGCGCCGTATGCGAGTCGCCAATAAAATAAGCATAATCGCCGAGCGGCGATAGTTGAAACGCGACTGGCCGGCTTTCCTTTTCGATATGCGGTCTTTTAATAGACGCGATAGAATTTCTCAAAAATGTTTATGCTAATTACGTACGCGTGAATTGAATTACGCTCCTTTTTCTGGGAGGCTAATGGCGAAAAATTGTTATCTAAATCGCCGCTCGCCAACTCTACCGAGGTGCAAATGTGCCGCTTTGTCTCGCTGAGAGTCAGAATGGGATGGAAACTCATGAATGGAAAAAAGAAGAATAAGAATCCTTCGTCCTTGGTGATTCCGGTCAGTTCGAGAGGAACGAGCAAAAAGGACGAGGCAATGATTCTCGCTGGTGCTTTCTAGCAATTATCGCGGGTCGGCAAGTAGATTACGACGAGAAACCGCGTACCTCTGGGTATCTATACATACACCTTTTCGACCTAGATCGCGAGATATCTATCCGCGACAGGAAATCCGGCCCCTCTGAAACGCGCCGCGCATACTTCTCGTTTGGAATCTGTCGCAGGAATTCTGTTGTAAAAATTAAATCGATCGATTAACTTCACAAAAGTGGGAAAGGAAGTAACAGTGACGCGTAATAAGAATCTCGCGTGTCACTCTCAATCGTGATTGTACTTCAAACAGCACGATATATTATTCAACTTATTCTTTCAATTAACTGGACAGTTAAATTCTCTCGTTACAGATGTTTCCTCGTATCATAATTGCGATTCGTATCGTCGGTCTGTTTCATTCCTTTACTTTTTGTGTAACGCGTAATGCTGCATTACACTTTTAGATCGATGCGAATATAATATAAATAATTTCTCGGAACTCAATGGGCTGAAATTACACGCGCGGCTGCGCACACAGAGAGGAGATTTTCTCCATTAAAAATTCTATCGCGCGGGATCTCTCGCGGGCTGGAGTTAGAAATTGCAGATGTGGCGTGCGGAGCGTATCTTCTGTAAGGCCGTAATGCGTAGCACGTGTGCGAATGAAAGCGAGAGAGTTTCCCGCGCGGCGCGGCGCTTCGGGAAACGCCGGGATTCAATCAACGATTCGACAAACAAGGCTAAGTCAATCGAGCGCAAAACGAGGAAGCGGTCTTCGCGATCTTCCTCACGTTTCCTGGCAAAAATAATCACACCAAAAAGTGGCCAGAAAGTTCACGTTTTTAACTACGTAAGTCTTTATCAACAATTGAATTGACAAACAGCTGGATATATTGCAAAATGACGATTGGATAATTCGATCCTTTATATTTAAATTTAAGACGCAGATTTCATATTTTGCGTTATCCAAAATCGACGCTAAAATTGCAAATATTTTTATTGCACAACGAAAAGAAATGGTAAAAGTCATAAATTGAAAGCAAAACACGCACACGATTATACTAATTAGGACATGCTAATTAAGAGATATCTACGTACTCAATGACGTTGAAGTGAGAGGAATAATGTTAGAGATACAAAAAGATAATTTAGATAGAAATAAATATCGGAATATTTTGTAAGGATACGTGCTTTTAATACACGTATTTCAAATCTAAATTAGCAAATTTGCGTCATTTGTTCAGTCGTCGCATAATTCCGATCGGAGCGCGATCGACTGCGGTTTCGGCCGCGTGTTTTCGTCAACGACAAATATTCACGATATCGCACAAATACAAACGGCGACTCTCAACGGAGACGACTGGCCCGTTTTTAGAGCCGGAGCCGGAGCTAAAACTCCGCGGGACGTGAATTCGCAACGGATCGCTAGGTGTTATCATCCGCCCATTCGTACGGTAATTGCGGCAACAAATGACACGCTGCGGCGAGTTTCTCGCGACCGACGATTTTCTCGCTCCGCGCTGGAAAAAGGCGGGCGTTTCTACCGCGGAAAATTGGCGCGCCGTGAGTACCGAGAAAACCGGCACGGCGCACAATGGCACGTTAATTTGCAACTTTCTTTAATCGTTCGGCCTTTTTTCAGAGGCACCTCAACTCGTCGTTGAGCGGCAATTATGCAGCGATTATCGTTCGCGCAGTGTACATTTATTTTCATTGCATTCTCTTGCTTTTCGAATATTGATTAAGGTTTAATTGTTGGATACGTGCCGTTGACTTTCCACGAGAAAGTGTATTGTTTAGCGTTAATTAACAACGTTAAAATCAAAAGCGGTCGTCAGTTTTTTATATCTGCTCCAAATAATAACGTATAATTAAATTAATTAAATTAACTTTGACGTATAATTAAAATTGCAGCCGTTGTGTTCTTGTTGGAAAGATACAAATGTATTATTTATCATATGAATAAGCGTAATAGATTTATTAGATTTCTAAGTTGGAATTTTCTCTTAAGCTTATTACAGATACTTATATTATTTATAAGTTTTTGACACGACGTGAATATATTATGTAAATATATTATCTTGATTTAGTAAAAACGTAAATAACTTGACGATTAAATTAATAACACTAGCGTGTTTTTTGAACATAAGTGAAATTACTAAAAAAGGTCTGAGAGCCGAAAGAACCGAACGACTTACGTGTACGTAATGTAGAATGAGAGCGAAACAGCGGAAGAAAAATAGGATGTAAATTTAAATTGTTTGACTAGGAGACCTTTGTGTATGCGTAAGCATATAGTTATATAGTGAAAGCCGGTATCTCTCGAATCGGGCAAAAATATTGGAGAAACTGGTTGAAATCAGTTTATGCATAGGCGGTCGCGCATAATGTTGCATATGCAACCTGTTATTACGTAATGTCGCCCCGCGACACTTAACTAAAAATATAAATCCCCCAAGGAAGATAAAAAAAAATAGAGGAGAAGAAAAAGTGAATTGCCGCGGCCACGACTGTCCGTTCGACTGGTGAGCGATCGAACTCAGAAGCGGTCGCGTTCGCAGAAAAATCCGGTTTTCTCATTTCCTCCCGAACTTTCACTTCTTCCTCTTTTCGCCTCTTCCAAAATTAGGTGTGTCCCCTTTGCCTAATTGCGCTGAAAATAATCTGCGGAACGCCTACTGGCGAACGAAGACTTTCAGGAGAGACGACCGGTCGTAAGATCCCGCGACAATTTCGAAGTCCTTCGATATAATCATCGAGTCGAACGAGAACCGGTCGGACTGCATTTTGTTAAATCCGCCGGCTTTTCTCTCTCGAATACTCCCGATACGCGACGATCCATTTAACTCATTATCCTCGAAGAAGGCCGCGGATAAGAAGCGCGAAAGAATGACCAACCTGTAGCTCGCGTCTGCCGGCCAACGGTTTATCCTCGCGATCGATCCTCGATTTCTCTCTCTCTTTCTCTCTCTCGCGTTCGGCGATCCTTGCCAGCGGGTCTCTTTTCTCTCTGCGAGCCAGGCGTTATCACTTCAGCAGGATCTAGCGGTACCCGCGGACACGCGGGTCTTCGCGCATGTTAACGCACGCGGATGGTCGCACGCACCGAAAGTCATGCTGTCCTGGGGAGACGTGAGTCTCTCATCGTCGGGCGGGACGCCGATGACGACGATCGATCATCGATTCCGCCGCCGTCGCCGCGGGTATTCCACCGAAAAACCGACGCACAGCGAACTGGCACTTTCTCCCGCCGCCGCCGGCCGCGCACACCACGCACTTCGCGCGCCGCGAAGTCGCGAAAACGCGAAACGCGTTTTTTCTTCCTACGCGAGAAATTCGTGCCGCGACGCGGGGAATTTACTACATTCGAATAAACTCAGTTATTATGTAAATTGTAGCGGCGGCAAAACGCCGGAAGGACCAACTCTCCGGCCTGCCTTCGCGTTCCCGGAAACAGTTAAAAAAGATTTGGAAAAGATAAATTTCTTCTCTCTTTGTTTTTTTAATCCCAGCATCCGTTTAACGGTGCGATATTTTTAGGGGGTATCCGTTGCGAGTTTTATACGCGTCATTCTTACATCGCGTCTCGATTTGGTTCCCCTCGAATTTTATTACGAAGTACGACCTGAAGGAATGTTTTTGTCGCGCCAAAATTTCGGAGCACACAGTCGAATCTTTTTATTTTTCTCTTTCTTTCTTTTTTTTTTCTTTGCACCGATCACACGCCAGGATCCGAGTCACCGTGTGCTCGAACCGACGGACAATCCCGGATTAACGTCGGACTCGGTCAACCTCGCTCCGTGGAAGCGATCGTCAGACTGAAGTCGTCGCACCGACTGGTAAGAGTACGTGCATGGGTTTCTTATCCCTTCTGTTAGCACGAGATCCCCTCTTTCTCTTTCTCCTTCGTCCATCAAAGCCTTCTCTCGTTCTGGCACCGCTATCTTGCTTGAAATGCCGGATCCATCAGGCAAATCGGTAATTTTTCGGAAATGCGTGTACACAAGCCTTCATTTATTTCGAAAAAAAAATAGCTTGATTTCTCGAGAAAAAATTTGAAAAAAATTGGATTATTTTTCAGAAAATTCTTACGCGAAAGAATGTCGATTTGCAATGCATGGATTTTCGCTTTTAGTTTTTATTTTATTTAATATGTATTAGCTTACTTTGCTTTCATTCTATTTTCTTTTCAGCTCATGCCGGATTGTGTGCATCGGACTCCGTTTTGGATCCACGGAAGGAAACACGCTCCCTGATTGTGTTGATCGCTCTAGACTTTATTCACTTCTAAAGCTAATAAACTACGATTACTTGCTGCTAGTGCTGACCGTGTCTTTGCTAATTCCACTGCATTTAAGTCCAACAAAATTCCTATCATTCCTCGTCCCTCATTCGTCAAAATTCACTACATGTACTTATATATTCTCGTGTCTGACTATTTAAGTCCTTTTCTTTCACTTTACGTTATGCTTTCTTGCGATCGAATTATCTTTTGCTACAAAGTGGTAACATTGACCCCTCATCATTTTCTTTTTACCTTCTCCTCAGAACTGCATGACTTCAAAATCAGATCTCCTACACAAGCAATGAAATTATTATTATTATTATTATTATTATTATTATTATTATTAGTATCTGTTCGTTACGCAACGGTGATTCTCACGCGTTTTTCACAAACGTTTCGTGCCCGCGTAACGCAGAACATAAATCATAAATCGTCGTTTACGAGCCGCCACAGCGCAGCAATAATTACTCTAACGAAAAAAGTACGAAGCGGCCGCGTTATGCGCCTTCTCGAGGGCAGAGTTCAGTTCACGGGGTCGTTCGCGAAACGGGCGGGCATTAACGTCACTCTCGATGGACATTGCCGAAATTGCGCGCTCACGAACGGCACTTTCGACGGTCTTAATCACTGCCCTGTCAACGCTTCAAGGGAAAGGCTCAGAGAAATATGACTGAGTCGCTGCAATCCTCGTATTCGTACACTGCCTAATCGTCTTTTAATATCGCGATTGCTAAATAATTCGTCCGAAATATTCTTCCTCACGACGATCCTTAGATAACTACCGCGCGCGTTATTATATGTAATGTCTGTATAACGCTGACTGGATTTTCAATTTCATAAGAAACGTTCGGCTCTCGAGAAGAGAATTATTTTCGGCCATGATGAGCATAATAATAACCGTATGTAAGTGTTTTAATATAACGTAAAAAAGTATAATGAGAAAATACGCACGTGAGCACATATTCGTTATGCTTTATTATATGGGAACCGCATTGAGCATTGAAATTAACTGTGCCGCTTATGGGAACGGCTCGTAGCAGTGCAGTGAAATGGAAGTGTAACAGACAGACAGACAGGCAGACAGACGGGAGTAAGAGGTCCTCAAGGAGCCGAGAATCAACCGAGAAAAGTGCGAGGGAAAAGTGAGCTGGGCGACCTTCGCGACAATTCACTTACCTACCTTCCGTCCGATCTCTCGAATCCAGCTCGTTCTTTACAGTTGTCCAGTTTTTCGTGAATGCTCCTTTTATGTCTGGCCTGGAGCGCGGGGAATAGCTTCTGCGATCAGTACCAAAAATAGCGTCGTCATGTCTTATAATTGCAGATGGAAAGTCTACCTGAAAATTCATAAAAGAAATGAGCTAATCAGTTTTTTATTTCTAACGAAAAATAGAAGAACAAAAATTATCGCTTTTAATATAAAACAAAGAATGAAGATTACCATTTTGAACATAAATGCATTATTGTATTCGGAAAAGGAGAAAAGAAAGAAAAATCTCATGAGAATTGAGAAAATTCCCAACTGAAGCTATTAAATGCGAGTATTTCAAAACAACGTAGGGCGATAAGTTTACGTTACGATAGAAAAATTGTAATTTTGCGCATTTTATAATAAAAACTATTTAAATACCGTATTCATATTGTAGACAAAGAGAAAAAGAGATCAAGATATAAAAAATGGGGGCGAGAGACAAAAAGGGAGCAAAAGAGATTGATTTTGAAGATATAAAACCCAAAACCAAAAGTGAAAAAAAATTAAGTGATTTGTATAGAGATCGGGAAAGATATATATTTGGAACTTATAAAGCATTCGCTTCGGCAGCTCGCGACTCTTTCGGTTATTAGCGCGATATTCTTCAAGATGATTATTACAGGCATTTATTTTTTAAAATAAGTAATTCTGTGAACCACAATAATAATAAATAATACGAAATAAATTCAACATCGTTGTCAAGTCTTAACGATTCATACATTTGCGCACCAGGTCTTCAACTCCTAGAATTAATCAATATTTCTAATTTATCTGTCTTAATATCACGCATTCATGGTCATCTTCATAAGATCTCCTCGCAAGTTTTTCCCGAAAGAGAAAAATCGAGTCTCTCTTCATTTCCGCTTCCCGGATTCTTATTTACCGAAGTTAGGTCTAAGGTGGAGTGTTGGCTCAACGAGAGGAACCTGCGTTCTCAAGTCTCGCGAGTTCAACATCGTCACCGTGGCGGGATATTTCTTCTTCTCCTCCTTTTTTCCCCCCGCTTCTCAACACGTACTTCTCCAATAATCGCGGGTGTCCGCCGATCTTTCTCCGTGGCTCTCGGCGGGCGCAGAAAATCGAGCGGTCGGTGTATACGCGGCGCGGCGGCGTGCTCAGCGCTAAACCTGGCAGTCGCAGCTCGCAGAGAAAGGCGGCCACCCACCGGCTTACACAACTCTTTGCTCCAGTTATTAGTATGTGACTCTTTTGCCGGTCGGGCGACCTGACGAACCGTGGCGTGCGACAGCTATAGGACTGTCCGGGTTCCCGTTTCTCTTTCTCTCTCTCTTTCTCTTTCAAAGACACGCGATGGCTAAATTACGGCTCCCGGGACAAAACCGCGCCGCGATCCTCGGCTCGGCTTTACGCGCTTTCGAAGCTCTTACGCTCCCAAGGCTGTTACGCTTACCGCGGTCGCAACCGTCGCGCGAGCGAGCGATCGAAAGTGGAGGCATTTGCATGAAACGCCGCGTTTCGTTAATTCGCCGCGAAGACAAACGCGCGCATTCGTTTTCTCAGAGTCCCATCGCGATAAATCAATCGGAAAGCAATCTATGTATACAATAACGTTACGAATCCATTATCGTTTCCATTTGCGTCGCAAAAATTGCGTATTATATCGCGAACGCGATTAAGAGGCGAGTTCTCCCGCCTCGTTCCTTGTTCGTTCAGTTTGCGAAAACAATTTAGATCCCTTCGGTAAAGCATTGCGGTGACGTTAAATAACGAATAATTGATGATGTTGGACGGGCCATAATTTCGCTCGTTAAACTCCGATTTATCAACCGATAATGCCGTCCCCGTAACGAGATTGTTACTCGTCGCACTCGCGGAACCTGTTCCAGAAGACAATTTCAAAGGATCCTTGAGCGACTTGCGCTCGATTGTGATCGGAATGATCTACAATGGTGCGATATTACGCCACTGCGTGCCTGCCTACCGCACGTTTCCGGTTGGCATGAGATTGTCCGTTACGCATAACGTTCCTTTCGTAACGACTCAATTCTCCGCCTTTTTTGTCGGCCCGCTAATTCAGACTTTTAATATGCGACAAGAATCGATTTGTTGATCGCGAACCGCAGCGGTCGACGAGAGAAACCGGAAAACGCACGAGCACGATCATCATTCTTCTCGGGAACTTGCGAAATACATTCGTCGGCGTTTACGGATCCTTCTGTGCTCCGATCTCGCGATGATCTACGGCGTGGATCACAACGTTGGGCAACCGACTCGCGATACGTTACGCCGTTACGTAAAAGCGTAATTGCTGTCTATCGTTGAGAGTGTAAAATATTATAAGGCCGTTTTACGAGCGAATCCGAAGAAAGTCGACGGAGTCCTGCAGAAATGTTCGAATCCGCGGAGGACGCCTGGGAACTTTCGCGGAGGGTAAAAAAGGAGTGTCTTTCATGGCTTCGTAAAAATCTAACGATTATTTATCCCCGGCGTGAAACGAGTCCGATTATGATGATGAACGCTCGCTTCACGGTCTCGCGATTAAACTGACGATTCTAATGAGTACCATGATGTTTATAATGATTAATAAATTCAGCTTTACCTCAGGCAAACTAAAACGCGAACGTTTTCCATGCGAGGAATAATTACAGCGAAAGCAGATCGATGCTAATTTTAAATTTTTTTTTTCAAACGTTTTATAATGTTTTTGTTTCGCGCATAAAATTTACGAGAGAAGAAAAATCTGCAGAATGTTAGTTCGCACGAGTTTCAGTTTGTTATATGTTCCTTAATTGCACGAGCTGCGTGTAAAAGAATTTTACAGCGGAGGGATTAACGTCACACCGCGTAATTACCGGGTAGTCTCTGAGTTATTCATGGTCCAGCTAATAGCGACGTTTTCAACCCCGCGTTTCGCCGAGATCTCTTCTTCGAGCGTGGATTTCGTGCGGAGATGTAATACCAAGGAACAGCGCGTTTGCGTTTTTTCTATTCTATATAACATTTCCCGTCGTGAAATCCCACATGCTCGATACCTTCAACGCGTGCTCGTCGACGATTTTGCGACACTCATACACCATATAAATTTCGTAAAAAGTTCTAGAAATGACACTTTTCTTTCGACCAGCCAGCCAGAAATTTAGAGCTCGCGATTTAACGTTTCGAAGTTTGTGGAACTCAAAAACATCGCGAATACGGCAGCGAGGACTGCGCGAAGAAAGACCTCAAGTTTCGTGCGGGACGGACCAAAGATCTCAACCATGCAGGATCGTACCCGCGGTTTCAACTACAGCGAATAATGGAGGCGGTGTTCTCTATAATTTTTCTATGAAAACTTTTCTTTGAAAAGTTTTTTTATCTTGCATCGGGAGCATCTGTCTCTTCAGGTCTTTTTTGACGCTCTTTTTATCGCTCATTTAGGTATCACATTTTACAATTTTCGCGGAACGTGTATTTACGCTCAAGTATGTTTAGACACGTAATATCTGCATTCGCTCACTAGCGGAAAGAGACGACGATAGAGAGGACGATGAGTATCGCGCGATGTTAGTCTTAAACGAGCAAATAGCAAAATCCGTGAAATCTCGCTCGTTAATCTCGCTAGTTGCATACAATTTTTACTACGGGCGCCGTTTGTCTGCCTGCGAATCTACAACATCTGGCAAATGTCGCGACTATAACGCCCTGATATTATCTGAATCGTATATCACTGACGAAACTGTCTGGGATACGCACTGACAGATGTACGTAATTGCCTAAGCATAGCCTTTAGGCGAAAATTGTCGAAAGACATTTGCGGTGTCTCATCAAAGGTGTCCTATTACACCAGAGCCCCCTTACATTAATTAGCCCAAGGCCGTTCCCGGGACAATTCAATTAGAGTTAGAAAGGAAGAGAAATATTAAACAAAACTAAGTAACTTCTGTCCTTAGCAAAAACATTTAAAAAAATTATTATTTATCACAACGCTTTTTAATGTTATAATTTTTATAGAACGAGAGGCGGAGAAAGTAAAATTTTAAATAAAATTTCTATTAAAGTCTACCAGCAAATCTGACTTTATCATTTATCTTTCTCCTTATTCGCCTCGTCAGAAAAGCTTTATTTTTAATAAAAGAATTGATCTTCCTTGCCAGGAAAAATCAACTCAAATTCCGTGAAAAAATATTGCGAGAGAAAACTACCGTATATATAAGTACGTGTGTAAATATGTTTCAGACTTGGAGCTCGTGCGAGAACGACCGGCGGAATCAATTTTCCTTGATTCCGCGACGGCGGCGACGACGATTTACTTCAAGGTTCAGGGGGAGAGAGCGCATTTACATAAGGAACCCGTGCGCTCGCGATATACGTCCAGAGACGGACCGGACAATTGGATTTGGAAATCGCGCGCACCACGCCTACGATTAATCAGGCGGGGGCCACCTTGAACTCGAGCCACGTTATGATTAACGACGTAAAACCGCTCTAATTGGCCTCCACCGGCCGGACAGCGTTAACAACATTTGGAACGCGCCAACTGTTCGCGCCTCAGCATAAGTGAATTTGCGATCACAGAATGCAGCTCCGCGAAACGAAAATTAATAGTCAGAATCAGAAAATAAAAGGAAAACTCGCATAAGATCTCGTTGGGAGATGAAATTGCGAGACATGTATTTAAAAAATATAATTTTATAATTATTTTAATTTAATTAAACTTTAGGTAATTAACGCGTGTTCCGCTGTATACTGACGAAATAAACCCTGATACAACTAATTTTGACAATATTAAATTGGAAACTTTAACTTAGCCAGTAAATAATTAACAATAAAGATTTTTTATTTGACCTAACTGGTCATCTTTATTATTTATAATTGTCACGACGTTTTTATCCTTGGTTTTGGTTCTTTTCAATCGATATAACTTTCATACTAATAATAAGTATATCACTGTGAAGAATTAAAAAAAAAAAGGATGCTTTATATCAGCATAAAAAGGATCAAAACGTGAAAATTATAATTAATAAAGATGATCAGTTAGGTCGAATAAAAAATCTTTTTTGACAATATCAATTTTAACGTCAAATATATAATACGGCTGCGTGAGTTTGTGTGCGATCGATAATGCAAATAGTATTAAAATTATTATATTAATATTAATATATTATTATATTATATTAATATTAATATATTATATAATAATTTGTATATAATGATCCATTGTCCAGAAGTTAAATTTTTAAGCGAAAGCAGCCTTGATAGATCTAAATCTAAATATAACACGAGCAATCACGGTTGTCACGATGTGTCGCATTCCTCAGTGACGCCCCGTGACAGGTTTCGATCGAGTAGTCTTCACACAACGTAGGACGTCCGGGAGAAGGACAACGTAATTTTTACGACTTACATTCTACCCTAGAGGAGTACCGGCGCGGCGTCTGGTCGCGTCCAGTTCGCGCAATCTGGGGCGCCCACGCTGTACGTCATCGTGTTCCTGAGTCACTGGTCACCGGGCTAATCGACACTTTCAGTCGTCTGCCATCCGAGAAGACCCCCCTCGCGAAGGATAAAAGGCTAGACGATTAGCTGCTGATGATGAAATCGCCGATCGCTCTTTTACGTTACGCGCAAACTAAAAAAAACCAGTCTCGGTTTCATTTTTAAATCTTCAAGTATTTACAAAAAAAGAAATTACTAACCGTTAAGCCCACTGACTGTTAATTATGTCAAAATCATGTCATAAATAAATGCAATCCCGCGACGCGAAGACTGACTTCGTTATATACTAGCTGCCGGTGTAAATTAACTTCGACGTAATTAACTCTCGACGTCTCATTAGCGGGATGGTTCGGTTTAAACACGCCGACGGGAAGCCATGCAAGTATCTACGCATAAAAATTGCTGAGTTAACTTGAATGTCAACGTAATGTCTCTGGCATGATCAACGAGACTCGTGAGTCACTAAAATGGCTCACTTAATGGAAGTAATCGCTGTCAATCATTTTGCATAAACCGCGCTCAATCAAGCGGCCGTAAATCTTTCTTTGGCAATGCTAAAGTCGGGACACGCTAAAAAAAAAACTGTAACGCCATGCAAATCGTGCTGGTCAACTAGACGCAAGAAAATCTAATGACTGCTGCTAATTGCGATGTAGAGCGGTATATAGAACGTATAACCTGCGCCTGTGTGCTTAAGAGTAATATAAAATTTAGATAAGAAGATTTTATTAACAATCTTAATGCTATATTAATACATTCCACTTGTATAATATATATCTTGTTCATAAATATAAATATCACTGTGCACTGGTAGCGTGCTTTTCTCGTCTTTAAGATGGATCAGAACATAAAGAATGCTTATAAAATGCTCGTCAAGAACAAACACACCTCATACGAGTCTGATCACGTGACTATTTTTTTTATCTCAGCTTCCTTGTTCCTCATGTCAATGACGACCTGCAAATTTCCATACGTACAACAGTTATAGATATGCAAACGTGTATTTAATAAATTCTTAATATTGAAAAAATATATAAAAATCTATCTACTTACTTTCCCTGGAAGTATATCTTCGGAAATGGACTGCAAAGCATCGTTGACTTTGTGCATACCAGCGATCAACGAATAAGACGGTGCAATGAGCCCTTCTTCTAGAAATTGTAGGACATCGTCTCCCGCTTGACTAATTTTAAAACGAACGAAATAATGAAATGTTTGTCAATCGGCAACGAAAGATATTACAAATGTATGGCATACCGATATATATCAGGCTTCTTCTTTTTGTATTCCGCAAGATTAAAGCCAGTGATGCTGAAGGAACCTTTCTGCACCTCCGAACGATTGTCCGTCACGGTCGCCGCAGTGCCAGCTATGATCACGCGCCCTTCATGACAGAGGCTACAAGTGAATGCACCGTCCTACGTTAAGTTACGGGTATTTCAAAATAGAAACTGTGTACCTTCGCGAGACAAGTGATGCACCACCACAGCGAAACTGTCATTGCGCAACAAGTCCTTTAACGTTGCGTCTTTGTAGATATCGGTAAAGCTAAAAATATTACTGTCGATATACTTCCGTATCTTACTTGATCGAGATCCATACAGTCTTAATCTGTCAAAAGTTTACTTATATATCAACTTATATATCAATAAATTTATTTACGACTCACCAACTCAACATTTTCTTGAAATACGCTCCATCTTCGTCATCAAAGATAGCTTTGATGTCTCGTTCGGCTGCGATATCTTCTATCTGGTTCAACAGCTTCTTGTTGCTGTATTTGAGAGCCGCGAATGCTCCCATATCTCGAGCTCGATCGGCCCAGTTTTCTGTGGCGCAAACTCCAATGACCTTTTAAAAATAATTATATAATTGTATAATTATATTATATTTGCAACATCTCCTACGTTCAATTTTCTTCACTTATCAATATTTTAGAAATAAAATAATCATGATATGCCATGGCATAAGTAAAAAGTAAATGAATAAATTAAAAAATTACCTTGGCCCTGAAAACATTTGTTGCAAGATCGACAGCTGCTAGGCCAATGCCGCTTACGCCGACGTTTATTAGAATCATGTCATCCTCGTTGAGCTCAACTTTTCTTTCTAATGCGACTAGCGCAGTAATATAGCTGTCTAAGGTACTCGCCAGATCCGCAGAGCTAGCTGATTTCATAGAAGGTACCTTCCATATATCCTATGTACGAAAAAGATCATTATTAGAATGCTATCATTAAACATTTCAGAAAATTCCAGTTCCGAATGTATATTTTACCCCAACTTCTGCCAAGCACTTCTCAGCCAAGCCTCCATATCGCTCCTTGTTAAGAGCAATGACCTTATCGCCAACCTTGTAGCCGTTTTTCTCTGCCTCTGCGCCAACCTCCGCCAGCTTCCCGACAAACTCATGACCGAGAATCATCGGCAATTTCGGTTCGAACGTATACAAGTTCTGACTGAGAAGCGCATCGGAGACGTTCAAAGCGCAATAATGAACATCAATGAGAACCTAAGAAAATTAACCAGTTATCATTGAATCTATATGCAATCTCTCAATATTATTGACATTTAGGTACAAAACATCAGAGAATAGAGAGAAATTAACTGCAATTGTTATTGATACACATTCTCAGTATCATTGACATTTAAATACAAGATATTGATTATAATTATATTATATTTAATTTCTGCAAGATAAGCTTTCAATCGGGTTTTATGCCTACTTCGGTCTCCCGTGTTCTCCTGGGCGACTCTAGATTCTCTATTACGAGAGGACTGGAAAACTCTTTTAGCAATGCGGCTTGAATTTCCCCCGGCTGCGGAGCTGGCGCGCAGCTGTTCGTAGATTCCACTTTTTCCGCAGTGTTGCTAAACCTCCTCGCGACGATAATCCGCAATGGCAAGCCACTCAATCTGCACCTGCTTAGTTTCGCGAGAATTCGGCATCCTATCGTAGATGACATGTCGCTATTACTGCCATTAACCTAACCTATAACCTATAACCTATTATGGCGTCAAGCGTCAAACGACTCAAACGCGAGCGAGCGCGACGTCTGCGGCGCGCGACTAAACTAAAAACAATGAAGAATTAATACGTCATTTGATTTGACGTCTGGGCGCGTTCAGCAGACCAAGCTGCTGAGTAGCAATCGAACGTGATTGGCTCCTACTTTTAGAACCAACCAATCAACGCATTGTGTTGATAAGACAAACTCAACAGTTGTGTCTGCTGAACGCGGCCAATATCTGGGCGAACAGTACTGTGTCGACCTGTGTACACAGAATTCACATCAGAAATAATATGCAATAGTATGTGCCGTGCTCACCACGTGTTCCAACATTTATTTTCGTTCATGATCTTTTTTATTTTATACAGAAAAAATCAAAACTGCTTTGTTGATAAACAGTAGTATGAAAATCGATAGAAATTAGTTTTACTGATTAATTTTTTGATTTAGTTCCGAATTAAACTTTCGGTAGATAATTAATTCTTTTTATTTACTGTGTGATCTTTTGTGCAACTTATCGTAAGATCGCTATATCAAACCCAAAACCTATATCAAACAATAAGATCTTGATACATTAAATAAATAAGAAAATACATTTTGAAAAATTTTAGTCATCTAAAAGCGTAAACGTTAAAGTGTAGCAAATTCAAATTTTGCAATTTTTTTTTGGTGCACGTGTGAACGTGTGTATGCCGTATATTCTTCTACCGTGTGAAACACAGTACCACGTGGTGGAACATGTTATAACACGTGTATCGGAAAATGAGATAAAAATACATTGAGTAAAATAAAAAATACATTTCGGAAAATCTTAAACCCATTTTGTACAATAACTGTAAGAGTATGCGGTAAGAGAGCATTACTAGCAAGCAGTAAAAGTTGACCAAATACAATCGATTATTCTTGAATTGTAAAAATCTTATTAGTCAGTAGCTTACTGCTTACGCGTCTTACATCTACTCTCTTACGACTATGTCATTTAGAAACTAAGCGTAAGTCTGGCGAATGTAAGCGATCTAAATTGTGTAATTTTTTTGTTCTTTCTTTTGTGCTCGTGCACGTGTGTGCCACGTGGTAGTAGAAGAACACAGAGCTCCCGATATTTTAGATTTATAAAAGAACATTTTTTCTACATTAACAAAATTAAAAAAAGTAACTGTTATTTTCTTTAAAATAATTAATTAATTATTTAATAATGATATTCAACACACACATGCAAACTATGTAATATGTCAGTATATACTTAGCAATGCGAATGGAAGCAAGATAAACTTATTGTTAGATTATACGTATAATCTTAACGCTATAATTATAAATATGTATGATATTATAATGCATTTTAGCATATGCTAAAAAAGAAAGGATTATTTTTCTTCATATTTTTTGTCTTCTTTTAGACAGACAATATGTGTGCCACTTTATTATAAAAGTAGACTCCATGATACAACTAATACAAAAATTGTGCCGCTCTATAGTGCGGCGAGACAGTGTCGTGTCTTTTGATCCCGTTTTTATAATACTGTTTGTCAAATTTTAAATACGAGAAACAGATTCCATCGAATGCCATCTATCGAATACTTTGAGATGCAATATCTGATCTAATTATATATGTATAATCTTATATGACTATATATAGGTTCATATATGATTATATTATGCGCTCTATATATGGGTATGTAAAACTTATATCTGTTCATATCTCATTTATATATGTTTATATATATATTATATATGTTTATATATGTTCATATACTGTCAGATATGAATATTTTTTCTCGGGTTATCTGTCAGCCTTGTGTTGGTGATTCGTATTTGTTTAACGACAACGCTATATAAGGGCCAAAGCACATGACAGTCATAAGCGGGGAGCACACACTTCTGCACAACGCATATTGCGTAAGCATAAGAAAATTGATTGGTCCATACACATGTGCATAAGGAAATAGACCAATCAGTTTTCTTATGTTTACGTATTATGCGTTATACAAAAGTCTGTGTTCCCCGCTATATAGTCGTGGACGTAAGTAACGCACAAGCTTTGGCGTATCCTGATTTGTCAGGTCGAGGACTACGACTGTCGTATATTGCTACTGTCGCGAACATAAAACTGACTGAAATATACTTCGTCAATCATCTCTATTGTGAAAGTTCGTTTCATTTTAATGCCGCGAGCACGGATATGTATGAGATCGTCGTCGTCAAAATCTGAAAACAACCGAAAAACATGGATTAGTATCCGGGTGATTTGAAGAATTTATTCGGAAGATGTCACGAGATGACGAGTACTTACCGTAGTGTAGAAAGGAAAAGACAAGGTAAAGAACCTTCCTGCGGTAAGTTTGCAAGGTATCCTTGCGCGTGCTACTATAATAGGCAGATTAGAATCCCGTGGGAAACGTTGCCACTCCAGATTATGCGCTATCGTTCCAATGTTTTCGCTCTTTGTCGGCCGCGCATAAAAAATCACGTTTTATTATTAAATAAAAAAATATAGAATTCTTATATATATTTCTTTGTGAGTTACCTTTTCGATAATGCACTCGCTAAGATAGCAATATATAAAAATGTAGTACAGCATCGTGAACATGTATAAGATGGTCGTAATAATATCGTTAACATTACCGTGTTGAACGTGCTGAAACAAAAAATGTTTTATTGATGTTTATTCTTTTCATATCATTCAATAATACACATTATAATACATTCGTAATAACACCTATAATATTTTGAATATTAAACTTGTTTAATTAGAAAAAGAACCGGTATAAATGTCCATTACCAAAATAAGTTCGCGTCCATATAAAATTTGCATCATCCAATATGACAATAACTGTAAGAGAAGAAAGTCACGAAAGGACTTTTCTATGATGCCCACGTAGCTGAAATTAATAATTAATTACTGTCGTTGTCAAAGAATTATTCCGCATGATTCTTATGAGAAAAACGTCTTCGGTCACTACAACATATCACAAATTCAAGCAAATTGACCGAAGACGTTTTTCTCATAACAATCGTGCGAGATTTTTTGAATAAAATTTAGGAGAATTAAGACACTTTCTTTAATTCTAGGACTATACATACACGATCAAAAATTTCAAGTCACATTCTCGGAAACATTGTAACATTTTTGAAAATTTCTTTTTATTTGAACAAAATTAAAATCGAACGGAATTAAAATTAGAACTACAGATTTAATTTTTAATTATGCAATCATATTTCACACAATGCATGTGGTATTCGCCCGGAGAAAAAATCTCCCGAAAAATTGTCAGTTCGAAGTCTTGTAATCCCGTGATAATCTCTAATCTGTTTCGATTTACCTTAGAATATGCACGTGTAGTTTGACGATGCACGAGAGGCAAGCGCAGTTACGCGCGTTCTTCGTGTAACAGTGTCTGATGGAGCCGTCATATTGCTTAAGGGTTGCGGCGAGTACGTCGAACTGTCCACACGCGTGGAATACGATGATGTACAGGAAGCAATCCACGGTGGCAAATGCTGTGGTGCTAAAGAACGTTGTTAACGACTGCACGACGTAGAGTATCTCGTACACGGGCGACTCTTTTTCGCGGAAGGGATAGAGCCCTTCCTGTGGCAGGGTTCTAATCGTTGCGTTCCAGACACCGTTATTGCGCCACATATTCACGACCGGTGTTAACATAAATCCTAAAAAGCACGTTCACGTTTAATTAAGTCTATCACCTAATAAAGAAATGGATTGGTAATCGGTTTAGCGAAGATTGCATTTACTTCGCAAACTTGTAGCTGGATAATACGAGAAACGCTTGACAAATCAGAATACATAAAATATAATAGAATAAATCGTCTAAACTGAATTGTATAGTTTAGATGGTTTTTACATTACTTGATTGTTCAATTTCTTACCCATTGTCGCCAGCATCAGAAGCATAGTGCTAAGTATGCTGAACCGCCTGCCTCTTTTAGCGTAATAGATCATGATTTGTCGGCTCCGCTTCGCCAGGTAGCGATAGTTCGCCCAGTCGGCGGTCATCGTGTAGAGAATGAACCGGAAGTTCCTGGCCATCACTTTCATGAAGACGAATCTCGCCAAGAGCGGAATTATTGGAACTGTACCGAGGATCTCGTGCATCACCGAGTTCCAATCCGTCACCGTGTAAAGCACGGAGTATGTTTGTACAATCGCAGGGAACACGGTGAGGACGATCAGTATGAAGATCGAGCCGCACTGTAAATTGCAGAGGAACCACGTATCCTGTGGCCAGAAGCCCAGTAGCCGCATTCCATAACGAATTATCGCGATGGCACGATCAAAGCTTCCGATCTCTTCTACGTCGTCCGGTTCTGACGGTTTCGGACGAATGATCCGGATCATCATGCATCGATCTCCACCGTTACAATAATCGGCTTCGAGCAGTAATCTCGAATGGTACTGGTTGCTAAATAGTACTGGTGATCTCGAGTGCCTTTAATAACAATTGCGAATAGTATTATTAACAATTGAGATGCGATTGATAATTAATAAATAGACGCCGCTGGCGTAAACTGATACGATTTGGTTGAATGGAATTTTCAGTTAAGTGAAATATATATTTATAAAAAACGACGCTAACGATTTTTAAAAATAATTTTAACCAACATTGGATGATCTTTATAGCTTTAACATTCCTGCTAACGTACTGGCAATTTCGACTGATGTGTTATCAGTTTTATTCGTTCGTTTTCCTATTTGAGAATTCATATTGTTCGTCGACCTATAAAATAATCAACCTGTAATAGGGCATCTTCTAATAAATTAGCTAATTTTTCTTAATTGTTCAATAAATTGCCCGTCATATTTACCTGTCATTTATTTAAAAATGGTTTGCGCTAATTTGCGATTAATAATAACTCCATGAAATGTGCGAATATTATTACCGTGCGGATAATCTGTTGACAAGAATATTACCATTGTGGGGATGTGACCGGATAATCAACTTCTACGATTATAATCATTATTTTAAATACTAATTGCAAATATAAATTCAATTATTATTTCTAAATCTATACTAATTATTAGCGATAATAATTTAGATAGAAAAATGAAAATATATACATATGTATAGTTACAAAAATAGATATATACATAAAAAATATATAAATATAATGTAATATTATAATCACTTATCGCTTCCTTTTTGCAACGAGTTTATAGTTCATTTCAAAAATATCTTCATAACAATATGTGAAACTTACACATTGCAAAAATACCAAACGTGTCATTTATCAATGAAAGTTCGTTTCATTGAATGCGAGCACGGCTATGTATAAGATCGTCGTCATCAAGATCTGAAAACATACCGAAAAACACGGATTAGTGTCCGGATCTGAAACATTCGGAAGATGTCACGAAATGACGAATACTTACCGTAGTGTAGCAAGGGAAAGACAATAAGGTAAAAGAAACCTTCCTGCGGTAAATTTGCAAAGTATTCTGCTTGCGCGTGCTACACTATATAATAGGCAGATTAGAATCCCGTGGGAAACGTTGCCACTTCAGATTATGCGCTATTGTTCCAATGTTTTCGCTTTGTCGACCGTCGCATAAAATCATATTTTATTATTAAATAAAAAAATATAGTATTCTTATTTGTGAGTTATGCTTTTCGATAATGCACTCGCTAACATTATAGCAATATATGAAAATGTAGTATACATAATATGGTGTCGACCAGCTGTAATAGGGCATCTTCTAATAAATTAGCTAATTTGTCTTAATTGTTCAATGAATTGCCCGTCATTATTTACCTGTCATTTATTTAATCGTTGTGTGTGCTAATTTACGATTAATAATAACTCCATGAAATGTGCGAATATTACCGCGTGCGGATAATCTGTTGACAAGAATATCACCAATTAATTGCGGGGATGCGACTGGATGGATAATCAACTTCTACGATTATTCATTATTTCAATAAATATTTGCAAATACAAATTCAATTAATACTTCTAAATCAACATTAATTATTAGCGATAATAATTTAGATAGAAAAATGGAAATATATATATGTAATATATATAGTTACAAAAATTATAGATAAATATATGTATATAAAAAAAATATAAATATATTACATATTTATATATAAAAGATAGGTATATATAATTTTTAGTTTTTTTTATCATATTTCGATTCTGGGGCCCGATTTTCTAACGAGAAACGTATGCGCAAACTCTGCTCTAACAGAAAGGCTGCAAATTGATTGGCTATCAAACATTTTTTAGCCAATAAGCTTGCAGCTTTTCTGAGCTTAGAACAGAGTTTACGCATACGTTTGTCGTTAGAGAATCGGGCCCCCCTGAAGCAGGTAGCACTATAGGTGGGGGAAAGTTCTCCCTTCCCCCGAAAGTGGAACCTAACCCTAACCTGTTTGCGACTCCGTGACACTGTGTTGAATGTAAACAAGCTCACAATGCGTCCGCATAAATTCAAACTTCCTTGTGACGTGGACAGGTAAAAAATTATATGTAAAGAGCGAGCGACATATTTTGAAATCAATATCCAAGATCGAGGTCTTGCATAATAACAAATAACATTATCTTTATGAAAGATATCTTTTGCCTATGAAAGAAATAGCCTGTGTTGACCTGTGCTGTTCTCTTTAGCTTTTCGCAAACCGACAAGAAGGTGGTGATTGTCTCGGTGTTTGGTAAGTCTCAGTATCGAGCAAAGGGATGCAAGATGGATATGCTGAGTTCTATACTCCAGCTGAACCTCCTGGATAAACCGGAGATGGATCAACAGTCCTGGGTGAGATATCTTCTTTAGCTCTTTCTGACTTCCTAAAAAATAATATTCTAATTCTACATGTTCTTTTTTAACAGTGTGAAATTGAAGGATATTACAATCCTAAGGAGAAGACAGTTTATCTGCATTTAAGAGGCTTCCTTGACGCTCATGCAATTGTAGCCGAATACGATAAGTTCACGGAGAAGCAGGACTGCAAGGACTTTCTTAGTGTTTGGGCACACATGAGAGACAAATATGCAAGAGCGCTCCTAGTGCTGTTTCATATTTCTCATGTGATGGTACTCACTCATCCGACGCACATCTTCGACTACAGTTATGTACATTTATTCCGTGCTATGGACATAGTCAGGTTAGTATTAGATTTATTATTTTCGGTTAAGTTAATCATCTTTATATTGAGAACAAATATATAAACAAATAAAATTTACATTCGATTTTTTTTTCAATGAAATAATGATTGTAATGCTTTTATAATAGGCAAAAGCTTTCCCCGCAGCTTTCCGATGTGTTAAGTTCCATTCCTAGTCTACCCAAGGATTGGATTTCGAATGTCAGGCCCTGTTCACCGCGGGTGTTATTTTACTTTGAAACCTGTCCTGCGGTATTCCAGGATCCGAACAGTGAGGCTAATATCAAAAAGCTAGAGCATTCCCTTGAGGATCAAATTTACCATGTGTTAAGAAAACATAGGATTGTTACAAATATCAGGTATGATAAAATAGGATTGTTACGAATATTGAGTATAAAATTAACATGATTTTTCTTTATCGCAAATCTAACAAAACATTGAAACCACTTTTCTTTTTTCGTAGCTCGAATTCCTTGTTTGCAATACCAGCTAATCAGGAATTCGTGTATGTGCATACCGGCAATACAGACTCAAGGGACATGTTGGGTTACATGGCGAGAAAGTTAATACACAGCTGTAAAGCCAGTTCCAGTAGTACACCGAGAAGTCTCACTAGTCTGGATCCACCCAATATCGCGGTGGAGGACACCGAAACTGGTAAGACTAAATGAGACTAAAATGGATGATGCTAAAACAAGAGCGATGTAACATGTGAAATATAATTCTTATGTACATTTACAGAGACTCATTCGTTTAGATCGTTTTTACAACAACATATAAATTTGGCTTTTGCAAGAGGATTTGATGATAACGTCAGTCGACATTCCATACCAGCCCATTTTGAGGTGATTAAAATTTTGAATTGTGAAATATATCGTTAATTTAATGCTAGATCACGCTAAATAAGTTTAGTAATCAGTTAATTAATATTATACATATTAATTAATTAATATTAGTATTAAAGTAACCTCTCACGCCTAAAAATGAGTGACACTTTCCAGGTACCTACTTTAAACATATTCTGCCAAGTAGCGAACAAAGTTTTCGATTATTTTATTCATGGAACGGACAAAGAGCTGTCGACGCTTCATAATTTGTTGGATACCGACGTGAAGTTCAGTAAGAGCCGATGTAGCAAGGTACTTCCAAGAGCTTTACAAGCGTATCAAGAGAACTTGCCGCAGCATTATACAAGGTAAAGCTGTTTGAGATGATCGAAATTCACGTCCACATCACGTTCCGAGCAAAATGATGGTTTTTAGAGCGTATCACGAGTCGAAACTGGCGCACGCGATGACAGTCTTCGAAATACACGCCCGTGGTCCGTTGTTCGAGGAGTTCAGTGAGAAATTGCAGGCCGAGTGTGACAAGCATTGGCGAGCCGGCAGGCAAATGTGCGAGGTGTTGTCGCTCACCGGGCATCCTTGCACGAATCCTGTTCATAGAGGAGGTAGCGAAGGTGCGGGAGGTGGGGAACAAACTGAGCCCAGAGAGGACGACAGGTATGTTTTCTTATATATGGAGGAGTAAAAGCCATAGTGATGTATATATAAGTCAAATTTTTAAAAATATTATATATTATATAGATTGCATCTATACACACGAGTCAGTATTTTAAAAATTTTTATTTAACCACTATGGCTTTTGCTCCTCCATATATAATGCACTATTCATATATATTCTTACATAAATATATTATTTGCAATATTGATTGTCTTAATTTTCATTTATAGCGAGCTGCCTGTCAGAGAGCATTGCAGCGGCGTTAGATATGTGTGTGCTTGTAATTGCGGTAGGATCCAAGGCTCGAGGGAAGATCCCTTCAGTCTGAAACAGGCGAATTACGAATATTTCCAGATGTTAGCGAAACAATGCGGTTGCGCGCAATTGGAAAGCGTACAGTTTCCCGTGTTTCAACCCAGCACACATAACTACAGGTAAAGCGTTAATGCTGCTGAAGATTTCTTCGATGGACAGTACTAATGTGCTCCTTTGTTTTTCTTTGTCTCTCAGAGCGGCGCAGTTATTTTCAGCGACGAAACGTCACGATTCCTTCAGTCGCAACGAATCCTCTACGCCACAAGAAACGCAAGCTTGCAGTTTAGGAGCCGATACCCTGAATGGCAAGTAACAGTGTCGATAAAAGAAGCGTCCTTTTAATAAAACGTTTAATTTAATGAAAATATTGCAGATGAAATTACAGAATACGGTAGCGGCGGTCAATCGCCGACAGCGAGCGATCCGATAGAAGGAGACATTCCGAGATTGAGCAGTAAGACAAGTTTGACGCCGAGCGACTCACACAAAGTTGTTATAGAAATCACTAACAGCGATGCGGAAAACTCGAAAGGTATTTCGTCGCTACAAAAGTTTGAACCTAGATATAAGATATTTAATCGGAAATCTATATGGATGTATACGTGTTACAGACAAATCTCTAGTAAGACAACCATCGACGACGGAATATCTGCCTGGAATGTTGCACACCGAATCACCGGCCGGGTTGCTACCGCAATTCTCCAGTTGGTCTTTAGTATGCCTTGGACCGAGCAGCCTTTATTCTCACAATTTGGGACTGCAGCATCAGATCGGGATGTTCCCTACCTCCGCGTATCTGCTACCGTGGGACGTGACTGTCAGGTGAGGAGAAAATGTCGTAACTTCTGCACGTATGCGGAGTAGCGCCTTCAACGTTCTCCGCGGAAAGGATTTTCTAAGAGGGAACAAATACACCGGCCACAGATTGGAGCATCAGAAGGAACGGAATCCGCTGTGGCCATTGGTGGGCGATCACGGGGGTTACTGTCCCCGAGGCAAGAACTTCCAGAACATAAACGTCATACGTGCCCGTAAGTCGAAGGGCAAGGAGTTCGTGGTGAAGATATTCGTCGGGGTGGAGTACGAGTGTCCGCGCGGGCATCGATTTATGGCGTCCGCGCCCGACAAGGTGCTGAAGGCGACCGGAAGCGGCATAGTGAAGGACAGCGGGAACAAGGTGACGTCCAGCACGGCCGACATGCCGCTCTACTTTCCTTGCCCGTGCAGGTTCGTGGAATATGATTGTGCTCGACTTGAAGTCCACGTTAAAGTCCACGTGACGTAAATCTGCTCGACAAACAAATACATTTCCCTTTCGCCGTCTCTTTCTTTCAGGCATACCAAGCCCTTGATCGCCCAGCTGATGAGAATCCACGTGGTGACGCCTAAAGCGCCGGTGCACGTCACGTTGAATCCTCGGGTCCAACCTGGGCCCCCGCCCTGCCCTATATTCGTCACCGGATGCGAGGAGCCGATCAAGCTTTCCCAGAGCACATACTGGGTCTTAAGATTACCGTATCCTTTTTTATAACGAAACTTTGTACACATTTGTATATTTTGAGTGCTGACAACATGCAAGTAAGCTAACAATAAGTTATCCTGCACTCATTAAGGGCTTTCTTTATAATTAATATATATAATTGTATAATTATAGTATAATAATATGGTTATATTATAATACTGACAACGCAAGTAAGCTAAATTACACTGCATTCATCAAGGGCTTTTTGTACAATTGATATATATAATTATAATATGTAGATATTATATTATAGTTATATTACAATAGAATAATATAATTATACTACGATTAACATATAGTAATATGATTATATCATAATATAATAGAAAAAGGGAATCCTTATTCGACTCTCTTTCTCTCTTCGATAGTTTTGCATAATTTTCTTAACAAATTCCAAAGATACGTATACATGGGCGAGAAAGGACCGTATTTGCCGCCCAAGGAACAGGTGCCTCCGTCGCACGGGCGTTTGCTAGCCGGCATGTATGGGATCTGCGAAGTCGTCAAGTGAAGAAAAGACGACGCGATGTTGAGATATTCCGCCGTGACTCAGATGACCCGTGGACAAGTGTGTTGAACGCGCGTGAACTATCGTGTGTTTTGAAATACTGTGCATTGAAAATAAAGCAATTTGCAAATTTGTTTATTCTCTCGACTCGACTCTCGAACTCTCGACCCCTCGCAAATCCTAACAAGGCCGACGATTGGTCGCTTTCAAAATGTTCAGTGCGCCACGTGCGCCGCGTTCGCCCTCGCGATTGGCCCAGCGCCCAACCGTCTCGAAAAGAACTTTCTTCGTCTCGAGCGAGTTGAACGCGCGGAATGACAGTGATTTTCGCGCCGCGAATCTCGAAGGCTTCAATTTCGTTCCAGCGAGACCGACGCTCGAATAAAACGTGAATCTTGCGGTGACGAGTGAGCGCGACGACAAGCCAGGATCAAAATACGGCGTGGCACGTAACGTGAGTGTGATCGCGGCGGGTAACCTCGACCGCCATTTGCGCGTTTTAAACGGCGCAGCCGTTGGAGCAGCGCCGGACGAAAACACGTGCGTCACGTGCGTGAAAAGCGGTTGTCATCGCGTTTGAATCCGCGAAACGGACTTGTGCCTGCCCGTCGCTCGACACCGCGACTGCCGAGTCAGGCAAGAAGAATCTCTTGAGTTTTGGGTAAATTTTCCTTTCGTTCGCGAAACCGTGACGTGGACAACGGTCACGGGACGGACTCGAGCCCGTCTATTTTTAGTGGCGCGATTTTGCAACGTTTTCTTCGACGGGAACAGCTGACCGTGCATAACTTATTCACCGCGGATCGTCAACCCCAGGTAATCGACGTGCGTTTCAGCGTTGAATCAATGCGGAGGCTTGAAAGTGACGCACCAGTTGCTTCTCTTTCAGGATTAATCAATTTGCTGCGAAATGGAGAGCAGGCTCCTGCTGGTGATGCTTGTCCTGTCTCTTGAATGTAACATCGGAAGCGCATCCGTCCTAGACTGGCTATGGGGAACGAAAGCGAGCGATGGGAAGGATGCGAGTGTTATGGTCGCCGACGGCGTGCCCCTGATCTCGATCCCTTACGAGTCGATGACGGAAGACGAGAAGTTCCTCCAGGAGGCCGCCAAGTTCACGGATATTCAGGTGTCCTCGCCGTTGGAGACGTGTCAGCATAAAGTCATTATGAAGATCAAGACCACGTGCTCCGACATGACCGAGGAGGAGCTAGCCAAGCTAGGCGTCAATCTCCTTAACTGTCAATCAGCAGTTGAAGGCAGGAAGATGTTCCCCTGCACCGAAGAAATGGTGCGTACTTTTTGTAAAACGCGCAAAAGACTTGTTGTATTCATTACGCTGAGTCGACGTTCCATTAGTTTCATAAAATCTATACAGGAGTAATTGAATTATATGTATAACGTAGAAAGTAAATTTTTTGTTAGATTCTGCGACTTTCTGAGTGCTTGATGCTCCAGCATGCCTAGCAGTGCTTTATTAATTAAAACTTACCGATTTATCATTTGCTAATAACACAAAAGAATAGATTACGTTAGCATTAGAACAGGATATATGTCGGAACCCTTCACGGATTGAGGGGGTAATGCTGTTCAATGCATTCCATGCCTGTTCAAACCTGCACACTTCCCCCTCCCTTTACTTTGGAAGACCTCCCCAAAGCTTATGGTTTCAGTCGCTTAGTGTTCACTGTACTATGGCATTCAAATTGCCTTAGCCACAGATTTTATCGCATAAACTCGTAACTTTGTTATGTAAGTATAAAAGCATGATTTCTGTTTTTCATTTTTTTAGTCTCTTAAGCAATGCACAATCGACATGGATGCTGACATGTGGAATGCGTATCACTTAATAAGTAACAGAGCGAGGGCGATTTGTTACGCAGCTCGAAATACACAATTTCGTGCTCTTACAGACTTAACAGTCAACAAGCTGATGCAGTCTGCGCATTACCAAATTAAGGCGCTGGATTCCTTAAAGGTAGTTATACGTTCCTTCAGCGTGGTTTAACAATTCGTTCTAAATGGAGGCATTATATTAATTTTTATTAAACAGCAAGGCCAGTATCGTCTTGAAGAACAGACAACGGAAGCTCTGTCATCATTAACTGAAGGAAACAAGGTGCTTCTGACACAGCAAGAGTACTTGAAGGACGCACAGACGACAGCTCACAACCTTGTAACAACAAATCTGAGAGAGTTGTATAATGAAAAAGCGTTAATACGATCTGGCCACGTTCAACTTGCTGCCATGACAGAAGAAATAAAAAATAAGTTGGGTTAGTAAACAAAACTTTTTATACATATTTCTTTTGTACTATTATACATAGAGTGTCCTCTAAATATATTTAACGTGTTCTTCAGAAAAGGCGCATAAGGATCTCGAGCAACAGAGCGTTGAACGTGAAGAAAATCATAAGGAGGTATTGGAGGATTTGATTAAGATACAAGAACAAGCGCAAATGATCTGGGAGAAAATCGAGCGTAGCACTAATCGCATACTGGAGCATCACGAGGAAACTATCCGTCAGTACGAGCAAACGATGCAGATGCTCGCGCAAATTAACGATACCATCCAGTACATTTGGAATCTCACTAATACAATGCGCACAGAAGTAGACCAAAAATTGGGATGGATTACCAACTACATCGGCGATACCAGTATGTCATTACATAAAATATATTTGTCGTACGAGAGAACGATTCAGTTTAACAGTTACGTGAAAAGATGCAAATTTTGTTAAATTAATTACATTATATTACTTAGTTACGTTGATTGTGTTATGTTGCAAATTCTCGTACAGATTAGAATAAGTGGAGATATATCAATAACGCTACACATCCATACTTACTTCCATATTTTCAGGTGAACAAATGCAAAGAGCGTATCGCACATTTTTACACATCGTGTATCTATTAGTGGCGATGATAGTCGCCGCGTTTTTACAAGCGCCGTTTTTAACCAGAGCTACTATCATGGGCGTTGTGCCGGCGAATCTTTTTACCTACTTGAAACACGGCATGGAGGCCTCTTTAGATTTTACATCTATGACGGTGCTAATATTCTTAATCACCGCAAGTGAGTACCATGGATGTCGAAACGCGTGATAAAATGTATCTTAAATAAATATAGAAGGCGAAGAAGTAATCATGATATAAAATACTTTATCTCGTATTACATCAGTTTACGTTTGACGCATTTATTTCTTTAACGCAGTGCATTTCGTAATGCTGGGAATACAACGTATGATCGGACCAAACATCTCGGAAGCGAAGACGGAGCTAATTAAGCTGGTCCATCAAAAAGACTATTCGAATGGCGTTGCGTACGACAATGCACCGTCATCGCATTCCAATTCCGTGCCGAAAATGCAGCTGCACACGAAATTAACGAGAAATGTGCAGGAATTTTACTATCTCATTGTTTCGCAAATAAATCATTATAAAGGTATTTCTCCGGTTTAAGACTGAAATTGTGCGAAAGAAATCGAGTGATGATCGCTATACCATCTAATATAATTTTTCCAGAGAAAATTAGTGTCATGTTAGAGACGATCGCTTCGTGGGGTGGACGCAATTTAAATGCGCACGAGGAGCTCTCTTGTTCGTATCAACCATCGAGGAAGAGGCATGAGGACATCGTTCGTAACGGATTGCAATTCTCGAGTTACATGTCGAACGACCTAACAGAGTGCGATTCTTCCAACGGCACCATAACAGTGCCATGGCAGCCCCAAGACTGTTCCATCATGGGTGATAACAATCATCATTATCCAAACGATTTTGATGATACAGATAAATCGTTTGAGCATCTTCGGTGTACGTGGTCACGAGCTAAGAGGTGAATAACTTGCAAATCAAAAGTTAAATTATTTTAAAAAAGGATGAATCGCGTAATGTAGCTAAGAAATATTTTCAGTGGTACTCCAACATTGCTGAAATTCCCTTGTATGGGAATAACGAGAAATGGCAGGAGATGTCGGGCATTCGCTTCACCCGGATGGAACTATTGCTACCATCATTCTACGGGCATGTCTGTTAAGAGTGACCATACTGATCATCTTGATTAATCGAAGAAGGATTAATAATTGCGAAATAGTTAGTAGATAATATTTATATATATATAATAGTTGCTATAAAATTTGCAACGGGTATTTATTTTTTATTTTATATATAGTGTACGTTGTATTTTAACGAGAAAATAATCCCAGAGAAACAAAAAACCCGTGAGAAAAAAGTTTGCGAAAAGATCATTAATTAAATATGGTAAAATAATTTGTATACATTTTGTAATTTTGTAAATAACGTTTCACGTTTATTCGATAATAATACAACAGTAATCTCAGGTATCACTTTGATCTTGATAATATTTTTGAATATACATGTTTTAATGTTGGTATTAAGTTAATTTATATGACTTGTATTATTTGATTATTGTAATTTAAGTATATTTCTATGTTAAGATACCACCTGCGAACCTTCAAAAACTCTGATGTTTTTAATAGTATTTCGGAACAAATTTCAAGAACAAACTTTCTATAATTTTGACCGTTTGAGCCTGAAAATATACGAACAGTTCAAATTGTTCAATTTGACCTCAAGTCTAAAATGAAATAACATTTTCTCTCTATAATGAATAATATTTTCGCTCGAATTTCTCTTAATGTTCAAATTATTCCAATAGCTTTGACTTAGTCAAATTGATCGATTATTAGCTCCGAACATTAATATTTTTACTTTGAACTATTCGTACAATTCGATCTCACAATTTATTAACAAATTTTTTGTCTGATCGTTAATAGAAATAGAAGGTTCCTCTCAATGATAAATGTATAATCCATATTTGAAAATACGTAATCTCCTATCTTTTCCATAATAACGGATAATAATAATAATAATTGGTTCTGCGTTTAATGTAAATGATATTTAATATTTATAGGTTACAATCTACTATTTTATAAGGATATTTCGAGTACAAACTTATGATATAAATGATCTTATAACACTTGTATAAAACTCTGTAATTATAAACATAAATTTTTATTATAGATGTAAAAAACTTGTGGTTTTTCAAACTTGCATTGGTCCTCGCCGAAGAATCACAGAAATATATGTATAAATTTTGAGGAATTAATGTATTTTAAATACAATTTCATATATGTGTATTATATGTATAATATTAAATTTATTTTACAAAGTTTATACATAGGTACATATAAATTTTGAAATAAATTGATATCTATATATACACATGTATACGTGTATTCATAAATTTACATTAGGCAATTTTTGGCGTGACTCTGGTATAAGCAATCAAAGGGTACCAAACTGCACCAGAACCAATATCAGCCACGGATAGCAACTTTGGTATATGTACCAAACCATATCAAACGATCGCCAAAAATCGTCTATTATTATATAAATGTTTGAAAAATCACAAGTAAGTGGCGTGGCTTGTTTCATCAACAGACTGCCATATTGAATTGCGTGCACACAGCATCATTCGTCAGCTCCAGAAATTTCGCGTGTCTGTCGAGACCGGCTCCCACTACCAAATTGTGCAGATTGCAGTAATTCGCGCCGTAATCGAATATCATGAACCATTCGTTTGAAACAGAATCGGCCTAAGATCATATTTTTGTTAGTCAAATATTCGGCAACTTATACTTTAATGTTTTACATATAATCATCGAAAGAAATATTCGACACGTTCTTTAATATAATCGAAGAACGCGTCGAAGCATTAATGCGATAGTAGTGAGAAATCCCGTGTAATTCAATGCATTATATTTTGTAATATCATTAGTTTTATTACTTTTATTATTTATATTGTAGAATAATTTTCATGTTTAATTAAAAGTTTACCTTAGCAAGGCATGTGTTGTTCATCTCCTCGAAGATGATCTCGATCCTCTCAAGTGACTTCAGATTCGACGTCTTATGCGTCGCTCTGATTATGTTATTCTCCACAGGTATCTTAAGCTATCGTGAGATACACAAGTTACGTTATCAATTCGCGTTTGAAAATCAGATTGTACTCTCACCGTATATAGACAAGCGCCGCTGCGTTGTCGACAAGCGTTCCAAGAAGACCAATTCGTTATCTGGCGTCGGAATTTCTGCATCACATACGCGCATGGATCGTCAAACTTCCTAGAGTTGAAATATATAATTATCTTTAAAAGGTACTTATATATAATATATACTTAGTTCGATAAGATATTTAAAAACCCAGAAATCGTTTCATTTTTGTATATTTTTATCAGAATTACTTTGTTTTAATTTTAGTATTTATAAACTGCGATTTATTTCAACTTGACCCTTTAAGCGCACCCATCTCTCTTTGTAATTTAGTAGTATATTTGATGTACTAAATTTTTTCCCGTAGAATTATCAGTTCTGACATTTCTACATACTTGAGTAATAAAATAGCGAGCGCGCTACGCCGGCCGGCGCGGCGATCCGTTCTCGTGGAAAAGCGCGGATCGTATATTTTTCGGGCGGTGTCGTCCCGGCCAAAGCAAAATATACGAGCCCCACGTTGCGCCGACGATATTGAGTTTCCCCTGTGTATATAACGCGTCACGAGAGCGGCGGGGACGTCGCTTCAAAAGAAACTTTTCGAAAGCTCTAGTCCTCGTAAAAACGACGCGACGATCATTCGCGTTAGCTATTGCCCTAGGATGAAAGGGATCCGATCTCCCGGTGCTTGAAAGAAAACGATAACGGCAGCTGTGGCGGAATGTAAATCCGTCCGAAAAGCTCTGGAACCTGTTCGTAAAAATGCCGACATTATATTTCGATGGCAAAGTGTTCGGTAATTAGCTTTTGATGAACGGCGCGTCGCTCATTCGCGAAAAAACGATGAAATTCGGCTCTACGCGATGTTTCTCTGACGATTTTCGAACTTTTAGCCTCTTGAATATCGCCACAACCATGTCTCGGAAGCGTCAAAGTCCCACACAAAAAGTTGCCTGGCAATGAGTTTAAAAAGAGCGGATAACAAAGCCATCAAATGTTACCTATTATCTGTTTTTTTGAAGCGCGATTTATCATTCCGATTTATCATTCGTTTGTATCATAATGTGTATATAATTACCATTTAACAATGCAGGAGGCATGCAGAGGATATGGGAACAGCATCCCGCCGATTACCAAGCACAATAAGATGGCCAGCATCCCAGCGAGGCTGTAAACACAGTACTTGCATCTTCCCTTGGACGACCCGATCGTTAAAATTACCGGAGGCTTGTCGTCCACTGTGCAAAACAATTAAAAAATAAATCATCAAATGAGACAAAACCAAAAGGAAGACAGGCTAAGACAGAAAAAGAATAAGATACCGATCTTCGCTTAAAAATTCGATTTTGCATGATGCTTTTAAGTCCCACTTAAAAATGTCGATTGGAGAAACATTTCGGCGTGCAAATGAATGCGCACTGCGGTTTTCAAAGAGAATGAAAAAGGAAGCTAACCATTTTGTTTCTGTGTGACAGAATCATCCTGCGGCCTTGCCGATGATTCTCTGGTGGTGTGGCGAAAATAATACGGAGACGAGCCAATCGTCACGTTATCTCCGTGCGCCGACATCCCGGTTCTCCTGACGCTCTTCAACGACCGGACCATATTACAGATCGATCATCTTTCACGAGAGGAGCGGCAGGAAAAAAAAGGTACGCTCGTCCTTCCCCGAAATCTGTCTCTACGCTGAAGGCAGACGACTGTCGTCCCGCGTATTTATTACATTGCACGATTGTTTTCACAGAGAACCTTTTATGCGTGGAATCGATTCTCTCGCACCGCTCGATCCTGTCCGGGAAAGTCCAAGGAAGGTAGTAGAAAAATTAAAAAACAAACACAGTAAAAAACGTCCGGAAAGTTCAAGAAAGTTGTTGAGATATCGAAGAAGGCCGAATAGAAGAGCTCCTCCGCGGAATTATATCAGTAACACGCACTTAACGGCAGCTTCCCACGCGCGTAAATCGGTTGACTTTTTTTTTCTTATAAACCTTTTTTTACGACATCCCGATGACGCACGATGGACTTCCCTAATGAATACTATCCGCTAAAACGCGTACCATAAATGTACCCGGTCTGGCTACTACGCTTTTTTTTCTTTCTCTCTTTTTTCTTTCTCGTTACAAATAGTCATGCATCAACTCTTTGACTTCGAAGACGCGCGCGATTGGACATAATATTGAAAAAATTACATGATAAGAATAATTAATATATTTAATAATTAAGAAAGATATTTTTAAACAAATGTTTAAGTTTGAAAATTAAAGTGCTTTATTTTCCAAGATAATTACCGACTTAATTCAACTATTTTTTCAGAACGCTGACGCGAATTTTTTTATTATGGCGAATTGTATCGGAGTCGTGGTTTAAAATGTCGCCGGTCATGTCTCGCGGCGTGGAAAGACATCACGGTTGTATACGAGACGAGAGGAGAGACGACTTGACAGCTGGCGGTGACGAGAGATCCGGTTCACACGACGTCCCTCCCTCTTCTCGTCTTCACGAGAAGGCCAGGAGCTTCGCGAAGAAACCGAGTCTTCTTGTAATTCTCCATTCTTTTTGCGCTTTTTTGTTTATCCGTCGCGCAAATGCAGGGAGTTATTCTCAAATTTTGCAGCTTTAAAATGCATCTTTTTTCCCCGCAGCCCTTACTATATCATAAGAGATACTCGTGTATTTCTGTAATTCACGGATATGAATCAATATTGCTAATTACAGTAGGAGTAACAGAGCTAGTAAACAGAAAGATACTGTTCTCCATTCATTCCTCTTCTCTGGTGACCCACATTCGCAGAAGTATTACATATCCCACCTCTTCTGCGTTCTTCCTTTTTCTTGTCGCGATCGCATTGCCATTAATTATATTATATCTTAAAAATCTAAATTTTTTTAAAATTGTCGACGACCAAGTTGAAATATAATTAGGAACAAAGTGGAACAAATTAAGAGACTGCAATTTACAATACATTGTGACGTAAATTTTTGCATAACTTCTTCATTGCTTGCACAACTTTCACGATAGAGTCCATAGTTGCTTCTCGTCGGCTCTTTCTCTCGCGAACCAATCGGCGCGCGAGTCGAGGAGGAAATAGACGATACGACGGTGACGACGGGCGTCCCGACGCTTCGCGTCGACGTTAGATTCCATTTTACCCTTCCGCTCGCGCCCGCCGTCGTCGTGATGCTCCTTTTCGCGGCACGTCCGTCGCTCTCTCGTCCACGTGCAACTTGACAGCCATAAAGACGGGCCGCTCCACCGACATCTGGCTTGACGCGCGCACTTTGTAGTCTCCTACCTATGCGTAAAAGGAGTCTCACGTCATCGTCAGCCTTTGCCGGCGCACGGAGATTGACAGGGCGAATCGTTGACGCCCTTCCAGGAGCCTCCGCGAAAGATATACAGAGTATCCCAAGACGTTACGCCGCGATGACCTTTGTCCGCGTTCGCGAATCCTTCAATCTTGACTTTGAATTGGATTTTCCCCCTTAATAAGAATTTTTGTGAAACGTATTGTGAGTTAAAGAAGATGGGAAATATATAAGTTCTGTAAAGATCAAAATGACTAGAAAAAAATCGAGCGTTTACTTATATTTTTATTTTTTAATCTTCTTTTGTTAAAAATTAATTTATTAATTAATGATTACTTATAACGTGTACTTAATTAATTGAAATTTTATTTTGCTGAACAAATAAATAAAAAAATGGAATAAAGGAAAGCTTAAATATTTTATGAATAAATTTCTGACTTCAAGAGTTACCATAATTCCAGAAAATAGATTCTTATCGATGTCATCTAATTTTTCGCCCATTTTTTACAGGGTTGAAGGACCGGATGGCCGCCTTTGAGGGTCGGCGAGAGCGGTTCTTTTGGAGTTTCCGATAAAATGGAATCAGACGCGTATAGCGGAAGAAACGAAAGAAGGGATTCCTGCACACGGGACTCTCCCTAGAAATTTATAATTCGAACCGCCTGTCGGCAGCTAATTTCCTGTTCGGGGAGGCGTGTCTACGGCCATAACGCTTTCTCGCGGTTAACCTGGACGGTTGAGAATCTCCGATGATTCGGTCGAGGGAGAAGAACGAAGAGAGGGCGAGAGAAAGAGAGAGAGATAGAAAAGGAAAGCTGCATGAACTCGTGATCTTTCCCTCTCTTCTCTTCGCACTTTTTTCGGAAACGGTGGTCGCAAAGCAGCTGCTAGCTGCTTCAAGCTGTACGAAGAAATGATAATGAAATGACGAACGTCGCCGCAGTCGTTAAGAAGAGCGGCACTTAGCGGTCCCTTTATTTAATACTTTAAAGGTATGTCCGCATATTCCGTTCACGTCTCTCTTTTCTCTACGCAAAGATTAATACAACGAAAATTTTAATTAATAGAATACTTTGAGTTGATAATTAAGCGCGCACCTCAATTAAAATAACAATTAGAACATAGACGTAAGCGAAGATTTCGATGCATGATTCTATCCTGATATTGAGAGGCTTAATTAAGGTGATTTTTCAATTAAGCGTAATGACACTCGCTGCTAATTGCGCGAGTTTGATAGAATCGAACACACACACACAGTCAATTTATTTCACGAACATGTAACGCAGAAATAAACGTTCTCCACGTGGAGGAAAGGAGGTCGCTCTCTCTTCATTAACACATACTTCATCGGTGACGCTTAATGAATCGGGCGTTCATATATCAGCTCGCAACAACTCGCGCAGTGTTTTTTCAAGAGGCTCAATTTATCTGCGTTGAAGTGCGACGGGGGTGGAGGAGAGAGGGAGAAAGAGAGAGTGAGAGAGAGAGAAAACCATTCCATGAGGAAACCATTTTCGGTGTCCAAATAAGAGGGTGTCATCCGCGACATTGGCTGGCTCCCTCAAGCCTTTCCGCGGGCCAATCGCAAGTCGGCACCAGCAATAACCCTTTTTTTTCTTTCGATGGGTGTCTTCCCCCTCCTCGGAAAGACGAGGGGTGACTTTTTTTGTGCCCGGAATCCGCAACGGGGGAGTTTCGACGATCGCATGACGGTCGTGTGACCCTTTTCTCGCGCATCCCTCGCGGGAGCGAGGCTGATCCTTCTTTTTCTCTTCATCCCCGTTTTCTTCTTTGTCCCTCTTTGACGGAAACGACGGATACGCAATCGGGGGCGGCGCTTCGGTCTGTCCAAACGAGCCGCCGCCGCCGTCGTCGCGTCGTCTCAGTCGCGATCCTCGCACCGTACTTCCGGTAGAAGGCTGAGGCGTACAATTTTTTGGAATGGTTTTCTCTCCAACGCGTCGTAAATTATCCGTTGTAAATTGTCCCGCACGAGGGCCAAAAGGGAACGAGGCCCACTGATTTATCTCGACTGCGCGAAATGCATCAGCTCAACCGAGTTGCATGTTTTCTAAAATCAAAGATTTTGTTTTATTCAAATTTTAGGAGTCTAGATATTATATACATACATAAAAAATATATTTTTTTTTGCCTGTTTTTATATTTTTACAAGTTTCCAAAAATAATTTAGTGGAGAATTGACGCGTTCTCTTTGACATATCTTAAAATATTAACAAAAAGCATACAACGTTGACACACCAGATTTATATACATAAAAAATTCCTGCACATATATTCTTTTTATGTGCGAGTATATTTGTCTTAACGATTGCGCGGAAAGCGTGGGTCCCGAGCGGAGGCTTATATTCGGCGAACGGTTCCGGTCCGATTTCTCGCGGTTCTCGCGCGCGTCCTTTTTGTTCCCCACAACGAAAACGCGTGTAAGCTTTCCTTGGCACCGTCGCGTCGAGCGCATCGACGCTGTCGACGGGACGCGTCGAGCGCGCCTATTAGTGGCTTTCGCGGTATCGTAAAGTAAATCCCAGGGAAAAAGAAGAAGTCGCGGGTTCACTCTTTACGATCACATCGTTCTCGCGGGCGCCGATACGGCCCGCTGATAGCCGTGGAATTCTACAGCTTCCACGTTCCGATCTATTTTAACGGCAGCGATGGCTTTATCGTTCTGTCGCGCATATCTTCCGATATCGGTTCGAGTCAATCACGAGGTAAAGTATTTATCGTCGAGTTTGATAGCGTCGGGTGTAAAGTCCGTACCTCTGCAGAGAACCGTCGATTTTCGGATCTTACTAAGATTTCTCTCGTTTCTTCGGAGAAACTCCGTCAGCTTCTAATATTTGCATCTATAATTGACTTACATCCTTTAGATATATTTTGCGACTTTTGTACAGTATGATATTTAGAAACCAGACGGTTAATTAAGTCAGTCCTTTAGTTTAAATTGAAACGACAGGAGCGCGAGACCGCGCCGGTCATGTTTGAGGAATTTTCATTCACGGATCGTTCGTTAGTCGTCGTCGCCGCCGACTGAACGAACGCGACGGGGGTTGCGCGACACTTTTCTGGCAGGAAACGTAATATCTCGGGGTGGACGCGGGGAGATACGCTCGATTATATGAGCTTTCTGTCGCGCCGGCGCCAGCGGGGCGAGGGCGACTCTCCTTCTCGAACGAATACTAAAATCATCCACCGTGTGCCAAATTTCGAAGCCGAAAGGAGCCGGCCGCAGGCCCGACGGTCTCTCGTTACACATCCGTGGCCACGGCGCATTTAGCGCGGCTG